TTTATTAATAAATGATTTATTTATTAATCATTTATTTATCATATATTTAATTTATCATTTATATTATTATATCTTCGTCTTTGCGTTTCTACTTAGTAGGCTTTACTTTTGAAAAGAGGTTAGTCACGCGAGGAAATTAGAAATCTTGGATTGCAAACGTTTGGAAATGATGGCCCAGTCATGCTAATATTACGTCGAAATCAGTGCAGCGATATATTTCTGATAATTTTAGTACACTGTAAAGGAAATTTTCGATTTCGAACTTGGTCATTCTCAGCTGTGTTTCAGATTTCAACGACGTCCTTCATTTTATCTATTACAATTGATCCAGCTACACCTTCGACTAAAACAAATGTCCTGTTCCTTAAAACGAAACGTTTCAATTATAAATTGTAATATCATACGATTTTACAAATGATGGATAAAAATACACTTATCTGACTAATAACACAAATAAACTGTGAACGTATAGCCTTCACTGTAATGTTCAAAAACTTAAAAAAAAAAAACAGTTTTAATAAAGACAGCAACATTGAATTAAATTTGTATCTGAATGGTAACGTCAAATATTTTTAAAAATTTCTTATACTTTGTATAACTCATGATATTTAAGGTTGCTCGTACTTAGAGTTCATGGCATCATTTACATCTGATACATAATTAAAATATGTGCTCGAGTCTAGAGTGTAAATAATATTGCTGAAGGACCAACGAACTCTCTTGTTGGTTAGGTTTCGTAAAGGTAAAATTTTCTTCCAAGAGCTTGCTTGGACGAGTTTCTAAGACTAATAATCGTTCGTCTCGAGTCTCCTTCGACCTAGTTTCTCATCGCGGGAATAGCTAAGCACATCCGCGATTATCTTATTGCAACGCGTTTCTGGGAGGGTCGCCGTGGTGAAATAACCGCGAGAAATAGCTGCTACACGACCATCCGGCCTCGACAATTCACCACTTTCAGTGGTTATGCAACATTTCACCGATCCTAATTAATTTCCACTTCTCGTTAATTTAAGAACAAACGTATTTAAATCAAGCATATATGGATTAATTTGATTAATAACAATCAATATATCTGTGTAGCAATCAATTGCAATTGTATCTGTTGATTATAGTTATAGTTACATTGAAAATGAAAAAGAGACTTTCTTGTTTCTATAACTCATAATAATTATTACAGTTATACGCGTTCTTGATTCTTGGCAAGTATTAAACGAATTAAAATGAACAAAAGTAAAATGTCTTATGACGCACAACTGATACGTTTTTCTTAACCAACATGATTCATATATTCGCACACTGAGTACCAAGAGAAAAATAAACTTTCATCTCAAATTATCTTTCATTTCGTTGTACACTATTTTCTACTCGATTCAACAAACGTTCTCCTCCTTGTTGTTCTTCCGCATTGTCCTATTTTTTATTATTTTCGTGGTTTACATCTGCAATGCATGAACGTTCTCCATTTTCGTGTTAGGTTAGGTCTGTCTGCGCAGACAGATGTCTAAGTCACGTATTTATTTATTGTTTATCAGTGAATAATCGTGCAGCGTGAAATACCAAAAGCTCGCGAACAATTACAAGTACATAGTGTCTTCTGAAAATAGATCTGCAAGCTCGGCGACTGATCGTTAGTAGAGAACGAACCTTGGATACATGACGTAAACGTTTCACGAAAACACACATGTGCGTATGTTGTATCTTACAACTTTCCCATGAAATTTCATTTCAATTGCATATATACTTTCTTTTTTTTTTCGTTACTTCCGTATTGTGTCGCAATATGCATTCAGACTTTCTTCAAACACAGCTTTCAGCTTCCTGTTTCACCATTTTTTTTTTTTTTCATAAATAACTCCTTGCTTAATAACATATTAACTGTTTCAGTGTTAATCTCACGCCTTACAGGATAATATAAATGTAATTCCACTGAAACATAATTGGTAGTCATAATTCGTGAGAAGAAGAAAGTGTTATGAGTAGATAGTAAAAATAACAAAGAAAATAAACAAGAAGCAACAGGAGTGGAAATTCGAAAGCGACATAACAATGTTGTCCACAAATGTGTTCCTCTCCAACATTCGGCATCCCAAACTTAGAGTAAAATAAGATCACACGAAGCATACAAATCTAACAGTCCCAATGACGAATACGCCTGTGCCAAGTTACCTTTGCCCTACGATTTGTTTCATTTCTCTAATTGTCCTTCTTTAAATTGCCTCAATTCCTAAGACTGCGTGGCACAGTTTAATCCCTAAGAAGAGACATTGTAACTTGGATATATAACAAATACAATTTGTGATAATAAGAGACTATCCTAAGACGACTAACAAAATTTGTAAGTTTCAATATACTAATATAGTATTGAAAATACTCAGAATTCTATAATTCCCTGAAATTCATGAGCAAGATATTAATTGTAGGAAATATTTTGATAACTGTCAATTCCTGAGGATAATATTCTATAATTCAGTAAAGAATCATTGACACTAAGTTATACATCAACGTTGTTAAATTATTCAATTGTTTCATCCGATTGGACTTCCAAACGACAGAGAAGTAAATTTGGTGTATAGTGTTTTTGTTATTCGTGATTTAAAAATATCCAATTGTTGCTGTTTATTATTCGCACTAGAGGAAGATGCAGGAATGTATGTACCTTTAAATAACATGTAACCGCGGCCTAGGTGGCACGAACTGGGCCAGTAATTCATATTTCTCTTCGTAATAATTATTTATCATTTTGTTATATTCCGATGTCAAAACACTGCGCATCACACGTATCTAAGAGATAGTTTTATTTTAATTTACCGATGACGAGCCTAGACATCATAGAGGCAATACCCTTCGTAAGATCATAAATGTATAATTCGACGGTTGTCTTCATGTCTTCCACATCCATCTTGTCGAAACTGTAACACAAAGCAAAAGTGTACATTTACGATAAATGAAACTTCATTAAAAGGAAAATAACTAATAAATAATTCTAATATCTGTAAGTAAATAAAAAAGAAAGTGCAAATTCTTTGTTCAACTTTATTTTTTCTTCATATTTATACATCTTCCTTTTAAAAAAAAAAAAAAAAGAATAGTGCGCGAATGTTCAAATGATCAATCAAATCGAAATTATTAAATCAAATTAAATATTTAAAATATTTTAATAGTATCTATTAATTACGTGAAACTCGAGGCAAAGAAGCAAAGTTAATGAAAAAAAATTGTTTCGTAGATCCATCAACTGGTGCATATTTCCCACGTAAACTTTCGTATTATTATATTTTATCGTATCGTTTGCAAGATCGAGAATGTGCTACGACATCAAACAAGGGAAAGTCGAATATACCGTTGCGATTGGTTAGCACGAGATCACCGGCCAATCAAAAAACAACGTGATTTAAATCGATCCTTCAACTTTCGTCACGGTCCAGAGTGAAAACATTCGTTGAACATTGAATATTACATTGATTCTATTTTACACGTTGTGGAGAATCTTCCTTCCTCCTTATACACAACCTCATATATGTAACAAATAGAAGACATAATTATACCGGTTGCTTCGCAGAACTGAACTCATTTGCTTCGACAAGACGTTGGAACTTGTTTCGCAGCTGACACTTTTCTCATCCCGCATCAGATGGAGCGCAAAGTTTAATTCACACCTACACTACCGGCTAAAAATATTGGACCACCTGATCTTATTGTTATTTTTCACGGTATAATAAGATTCGTATAAATAATTCCTGTTTAAGATCGCGATGAGCGATCAGTAAAATTATAAAAATAGAAAGATCTCAGTCGTGTGATTTTTACGCTTGATGGTGACATGTAATAGATTCGATACATCACATCATCTCGTAAGATGAATCAGCAATATACGACTGACCACGTAAATGTATGAGCACGTTCAAACACTTGGTTGCATGGCTTTTACGAACACGGTATTTCCCCGTGCAACAAAACACTGTCGAAAGTTTGATACCAATCAATTGCTTGCATTTATATCACTTGAAATCCCTTGTACATCTCTATGCTATATGTTATACCAAAACAACATAAATGCAGCTAAAATAAAACAAGCTTAAAAAACATCTAGATGAGATCTAGTCACGAATTATAGGAATAATTAGTAAGCGAGTATAAAAACTAGGAAGTGATCAAAATACCTCTTACCTATCTTCGTGTTTTCATTGACGATTTACTAACAGGTGGATAGATTATTAGGATAATAGAGAGGCAATTGCGAATTGAAAGAATGAAAGGTAAAATCACTTGGCTCTGGTGTGTCAAAATGATCCGGTGGAAATTGGTATTGGATAATGATACAGCACGAAGATGTACACCTACTGCTTGATAGCTACTGGCTAGCAAATGCAACTGATCGCGCCCAAATGTTCGCCAGAATCAGGGACCAGTGTAGAGACACGGCGCGGTAGTCGTACTTCAGGAAGAAACGGTAAAGAGGTAAGAGGATTGATGCCGAAGGCAGCGCCTGCCTACCGGCATCACGGCCAGTAACATAATGAATGTGTGAGCTGTAAGTCACATTTTTGGAAGAATTCCTAAGAAATGTATTTTTCTTTTTTTTTTTTTTTTTTTTTGAATAGCGCGACATCTTTACTTTTCTACGACGACTGGTCTTCCAACGCTTCCAACGCTTCCAACGCCCAAAAAAGAAAAAACTATTAAAACACTTTCTTAACGCAGAACAACATTGATTTAAAAAGTTAACTGATTTTATGTTTCTGTACAATTTAACAAATTGTTATGTATATAAATATTTTTAGATTATAGTAAAAATTATTATTGATTTTCGAATGCAAGAAAGGTTAATTTGGTTACCATAACCTAACATTTGAATAATATAACCTAATATAACCTATACTTGATCAAGAGTTTGTTTATTAGTTTGAAATAAAATGTGAAAGATGAAATCTTGGTTTTGTTGTAAGATATTGTAATATATACTATTTTATTTTGTGAAAAAGTAAATAAACACAATATATCGACGTTACATATTTGTTTCATTAATCATAAGCATATAAATTCCAGAAAATTTAATCTAAACATTTGTTTGTTACTTTTTGACCTTTCAAAATGAAAGAATGATAAATTTAAAGATCAAAGTGCATATTAAATGAAACTGACGACATCAAAAAAAGAAATTCTTCAGAAAATATATAAATATCTGTTTCATTAGTCAAAAATGTTTCTAATCCTGTAGATAATCGTATCACCTTGCCGCTTCATATTTCACAATCCATAACCAACGATCAATGAATTAATCGTCTTTATATATTTTTGTAATAATTATTATAAAATCGAAGCATAGATGAAATAGCAATCTGTATTTTATTTATAACCAAAGACGATCACCTGGTAATTGGTAACTACCGCCATCGTGGCCATGACCAGATACCAATTTATGATCAGTTCAACAACCTGCGTCGCTGTTCTACGATTCTTTGTAATTCAGCCATTTAAAATAAAATAGCACAAATATACATCATATATTCCTCGCAATGTCACTTATGTTACATGTTGCTCCTTGACATTCAAAAAGAATTCGTGTAAGTGAAAGTGTCGGGAAAATAAATGCAAGGAGGGCCAATACTACAACGCGAAACACAGTTTCGAATATCGGGGGAAGACATTACTCAGCAAATACGGGGTGACTCAAAAAACATAGGAGACGCGTTCGTTTTTTTTTTTTTTTCGAATTACGAAGTCGCAATTACAGAAAAGGAAGGGAAAAATAAACGAGGAGAGTAGAATAGGACTGCAACATTCAATTGCCAAACTCGTCTCTGCACGGATTGAAAAGTTAACAACTGACATTGTTCCTGTGTTCGTTCGTGTGGGGAAAATAGAATACATACAACATACAACATCGAAAAGCGCGTAATAATATTATTTTTTTAGACAGAAACTCACCTAATTTGTACTCGAGGTCGCGTGCTTGTTAATCTATCGTTCGCAAACGTCGAAAAAAGCAGTGTGCAGTCATTCAAGTTGTGAAATTCTACTGGTGAGCAAATGATCAAACATACAGTTTTCTCATCGACGTAACTCGTAAATTTCACACATCGTGTTTAGTCGTGTGTTAGAAAATTTTAAAGTAGGAAACAACCAATATGATAACGAAAGTGTTGAAAAAAAAACACGATATTTTACAATATTTTATTGATATTTGCAAAATCATGCAAAGAGGTTAGGATACTAGATGTTGACTCAACAATTTTCTTCCACTTACTAGGGACTTTAGCAATACTGTGTTACGAGCAAGCAAGTTAAACGCGGATTGAACAGCTGATGCTTCGTTGAGACCGGCGAAATGTCAAAGTCTAGGCAAATTGTAAGTTACCTACTGTTAAACGATTAACCTCAATTAATTAATCTGTATAGGCCTCACGATTGAAATATAATCACGTTTCATTAAAAAAAATAGATCGTTCATTTCAGAAATCCGGAAAATTTTACAATTCATGCAGTGGCTTGTAACTTACTAAAAATTTCCAAATAAAAATCCAATTGAATCTTTTGTTTTTCCTTTATAGTTTTTTAAAATCAAAATTAAATAACATAGATACAGTATTGGAAATTTAAATTGACAGATACCTCTGTAATAAACATTGCTCTAATATTTATATTTAATTTGTATTTAATTTTTTGTTTAAGTCTTTTATACATGTTTATAAAAGAATTGTAAACATATTGCGATAATATATCCACACAATATTATATTTATATTTGTTTATATGATATTATGTTTCTGTTGTAAATAAAATTTAATATACTTCAATTTCTGTTTAACAAATAAATATTATTAGAAGAAATATTAATACTTTTATTTAGTTACTAATACATAATAATTTTTTAATTTCTAAAATATATATATATATATTTATGAATCTTTGATTGTAGATATTTGTTTGTTTATAGACTTTACGTGTGCAATGTTCAGAAGGAACAAAGCGTATAGATGTAAATTTGTCTGACACAATTTCTCAACTTTATGATAAGGTTTGTACATTGATTTTTGTGAAACAATAATTTATAATTATGTAAACATTTACTTATTTTTTTTTAAATTATAGGTTTCTAAAACCTTTGAATTGAATACTAATGGATTTGGACTCTATAAGGAACGGAATCATAAAAATGAACTTCCATTTTCTCATAATAAAACAGTTTCAGGAGTACGCCTTTCTCATGGAGATATGTTGTATCTGGCTCCTCAGAGTAGTACACAGTTGTGGAGTATTCCTTCAACTAGTACTGCCACCATTGATATTTCTCAAGGTTTTTATATTTTTTTATTTCATTTCCTTTGTTACTTTAATTTAATGTCATATCCTCGTTTAATGCTAGAACCAAGACCAATGGATGAAACAGAAACCATCAGTCATACTATCAATGCTGTTTCAAATGCAATGGAAGATGTTGATGAACAATTATGGAAAGTTGATGGTAAAATACAAAGAAAACGCGATGAAAAACTGTAAGTGGATATAAGTGTAAATAAGTTTTTTTTAAATATAGAATATATTATACATGGCATAATTTATCAAATAGATGTAGACATGGTGCAAATGGATGCTGTGTTCATTGTACTCCTCTAGAACCTTTTGATGAAACTTATCTTAAGGAACAAAATATAAAACACTTGTCTTTTCATTCGTATCTCAGGAAACTCACTGCTGGTGTTGATAGGTATGTTAAACTCTATCGTGTGTAATACATTCCATGTACAACTTTTAAATATTTTATAGAGGGAAGTTTATACAATTAGATGACATAAACTGCTGTATAAAGACTGGTTGTAAAGATCATCCACCTTGGCCTCGAGGCATATGTAGCAAGTGCCAACCAAGTTCTATCACTCTGAATCGTCAAACTTATCGTCACGTAGATAATGTTATGTTTGAAAATCCAAGTTTAGTTGAACGTTTTCTAAATTATTGGCGTAGCACCGGTCATCAACGTATTGGATTTTTATATGGAAGATACGAAATACATACAGATGTACCATTAGGAATTAGGGCTGTTGTTGCAGCTATTTATGAGCCACCACAGGTATTTCAGTAGAAATAAGTAATATTAAAATGATCGATCTATAAATATTATAGATGTAATCTACAACGTAATCATAATTATTCTAGGAAAGTACAAAAAATTCTATACGACTTTTACCAGATGAAAAAGAAGCGGTAGTCGATGAATTGGCTCATTTACTTAATTTAAAAAGAATTGGATGGATTTTTACTGATCTTATAGCTGATATCAAGAAAGGAACGGTAAATTTATCTACAACTAATTTGTTTTTATTTCTTGTAAGACAAAGTTCTTAATTAATAGCATTAGTCTAATTTATGCAGGTAAAACACGTTCGAAATATAGAAAGTCACTTTTTGTCTGCTCAAGAGTGTATTATGGCTGGATATTTTCAAAACAAATATCCAAATCCTTGTCGTTTTTCTCCTAATAATTATTTTGGTTCAAAGTTTGTTACTGTTTGTGTTACTGGTAAGTCACTTACATCACATTATAATCAAACTATTTTGTTCCGACATATTTTGTACATATATGAAAAGATACAGATTTACTTATGAAATTGTACATATTGATTATAGGTGATGAAAAAAATCAAATTCATATGGAGGGTTATCAAGTGTCCAATCAATGCATGGCCTTGGTTCGAGATAGCTGCCTGGTTCCTACAAAAGATGCTCCAGAATTGGGCTATGTAATTGAGTCAACAGACAAACAGTATGTTCCAGATGTCTTCTACAAGGTGAGTACATTTTATTTGAACATACTCGATTAATTCTTTTTTTTTTTGCTTGAAATTAAAATGGCAATGTAGTTTTAAAATTGATTACGAATGTGCATATTGTGATGAAAATATGACATTGCTGAATTATGTCTTACATGCTAATAGTATTAAGGAAGGTAAAGGTATGCATAAAGTATACACGAATGAAAGAGAAACAGTTTATAACTCAAAATTGATTGATTAAAAATACATTTAAATCGGACAACGAACTTCATTTCGTACATGTATAATGAAATAACAAAACTGTTTAAGCAAGTGCACTACGGATATGCATTTCCGTAGGCATTGAACAAAATGATCTCAATTTTTGTATGTAATGATGATTACGCCTTAACTTAAAATGAGGAACAGAAAAAGAAAAGGAGACGGGAAAGTGAGAGAAAAAAAAAAAAAGTAATAGAAAGAAAAAACGAGAGAAAAACTTATCGAAAAATTATAGCCGCTCAACCGTTTAATTCGAACGCGAGGGGCAAGGTAAATCGTCGGTTGTTAGAATCGATATTACAAGCTATGCGTTGTTACCTCATCACGTTCATAAAAATATATGTAGTATATATATTTATATATATATATACGCGCGCGCGTGGATATTTTGTGTATACAGGTGGGCTTCTAGCTTCACTCGCTTCGGTAAACACATGAATTTATACGCATCTAGATTTAAAAGTGTCGACTGACGTTTTCCGGTTTTTTTTTTTTGCTTCTTTTTTTTTCACAACGACCGAAACGAGAGAAATTTATTCGAGCTCGACCACCCTTCGATCGTCGTATTTTACGCAGTGTTATTTAATTCTAACGGCGATTCTTACATTCATCGCGGTGCAACGATTTTCTTTTTTTTCTTCTTCTTCTTCTTCATTTCATTGCGAGACGCGATGAATTAGCTAATTAACAAGTGTTAAAACTTTCAAGTTCAACATCGAATGAGGCTTTCTTCGAAAAAGGCATCCGCGACGTCGAGGGCGTGCAATTTCCTACAATACGTGAGTGCGCTTTTTGTTTCTACGCGCCGATTTACAGAACACTTTTTTTTCTTTTTTCTCTTTTACGACGCGTTTCTTCCGCACACGGGTACATGACAATATGATACATAACGATGGGATTTTTTTTTTTCTTTACGAGGATTCAGACGAGTAGTATAACGCATTACATTATCGTAGTACTTCGATATACAGCATCGAGGAATGATTCGTTTATAATATATATTCGCTCATTTCGTTCGTTTTTTTTTTTTTCTTTTTCTCTGATCAGACGACGAGGCTTACAATCTACATAGTAGTAGTTAGGCCTTGCATACATTTTCATGTTGAGATCTAATCTTAAATACAGTTAATTTACGACGGTCTGCTAGACCACGGCAAAGAGCAAAAAGGGAGTAGTAGTATCTTTGAGTCATCCGATAGGAACCGCAATTTTCCTCGACTCGTTTCATCGCGCAGTTACTTATTCCCTTTTAACTCCTTTTATTTTTTTTTTTTTTTTCCTCTGAAAAAAGAAACGGAACGATACATGGATCATTAACCGGACGAAGTAAAATTGGCCCTTTTGCGCACCGACGTTTTTTTTATCGTTCGGTTAATGTTCTAAACGACCTGCGTATAATGGAATCACGACTTTTTGACTTTTTACGAAGTCACGTATTTCGATTACAAAAAAAAAAAAAAAAGTTCTCGCCTGTACGTTTGTTTGTTTCTTTTCTTGTTTGTTTGTTTGTTTTTTTTTTACAAATATATGAACATATGTGTATACACATACAAGTTTGCCCCCCCCCCATTCTCTCCGTACGTATTCCTCATTCTATACAATTGTTTTTTCTTTCTTCTTTTTGTTCTCTACTACCCTAAATGACCTAAAACGTTAGCAACGCCCGCAGGGCGCGATGCCGTTTCTCATTCGACGGCATTTCTCTTAAACCCCCGAGGTGCGATACACCTTCTATTATCAACTATACATAGCAATACGCCAATAGCCAAAATAAACGTCGAACCTCTTCTAAAACAAACGTCGTACAGCTAGAAGTCGTATCGATATCACGATCGATCTTGAGGTACGTATTATCGATCATCGTCGTTATTGTAGATGCAGAATCTTATTGATTCCCAATCAATAGCAAAATATGGATTTTTATTTCTTCTTTCTTCTCTTATGCGTCCACGTTTTAAAAATAGATTCAATATCTTTTAGAATTCTATTGTTAATAGTTTAATTAAATTGTGTGACTCATGGAGCTATTATTATAGTCGCGACGGTGTCTCTCAACATTTAATATCATTTATCATCCGATATTATAGTGTACGTGATTCTTTCTGTTTCGTTTGTTTAATTAAACATTCCCCCATTCGAACATGTCAGAGATACCGTTGCGAATTCGTAAAACCCTTTTTCTGTCTTTCTTTTTTTTTTCTTTTTCTTTTTCTTTTTTTCGTTTTCCAGTTATCTAGAGCGGGAGAACGCAAAGTATACGGGTAGTACTTGAGATACCCTTCGGTATATACTAACCGTAGTAATGTTACCGTTACAATTTGCCACACTTGGTGATTAGAATATTCTTCGTAGGCTTGCCCGTTTGATCGCCGAACGTCGATATCTTCTCGACTAATTCCAATCCCTCGACGACGTGGCCAAATATTCCTGTGAATCCGCGCATCTCTTGCAATATTATACGAAACTGTGAGCCGACCATACCGAGGTTATCGTGTCGCTTCTGCGTTCTCCGCATTCCCACTGCTCCTCTCACTGCAGGGAATTTCGTGTCGTCCGGCATAAAGTACCCGTCCTCGAATATGCTTCTTCCACCGCGGCCATTGTTCAACTCGAAATCACCGGTGATGACGGATTCACCCTCCCAGCACTGAAAAATCGTGCAACCCTTGTAGCCAACTCCGACCTCGCCGGTCGCCAGGACACTGAAATTCTTAGCCATTTTCGGCGCTGCGTCCGGCCTCACTTCTATCACTATACGGCCATGCGGAGATCCATTCACTTCGATGTTGAAATAATATAGAGGATAAGGGTTCGAAGGCCCTCGAAGGGATGCTGCTATTCCGCTGGACGGCGGTTGAGAGGATGAGTGGACGGTAACCAAACTCCCGCCGCCAGTACCGACTGCTTCCGGTATAAATGTCGATTGTTGCTGTGGATGTAGCATCGCGTTCGGAGGCGCGGGCGGAACGGGTTTAACGGACGGCGAACCAGGCGGGATGAGAAGTTGCTGCGGGGTTGTCGGCGGCGGTGGACCTTGGTGTACATGAACGGAGCCCGGTGGAGCTGGTTGCGGCTGCATCATGCTCGAATGATACTCTATAGAGCCGTTTTGCATGTGTTGCTTACTAACTACGTGTCTCGAATATAGCTGCGACATGCAATAATTCGCGAGGAACAGTATCGGATTTTGTGAAGCCGCCAAGTGATTTGGTAATCTGCCGCCATTACTGGTTCCTTGAGAAACAATCGGCTCTCCCGTGTGAATCCCAGCTAACGCTTGTTTCAACAACGCGAAATCAAACACCACTCCCGAGTTACCAATCAAGTCGTCGAGTTGGCACTGCAACATCATCTCTTGATACTTCGATTGCAATCTCTGTTTCTCTAGTATCAGCTGCGAATGTAAATTGTACACGTCGCTAGGGCTCTCGATCATTTGCAGACTAGCCTTTGCTTTCCCAAGTGTTTCCCGCGCGTCCGTTATCTCAGGGAAATGACTCCAGCCGTTCTGAAGATCAGTCTCCACGTGTGTTTTCAACGTTACACAAGCTTCTAGCACTTTTATTAAGAATTCTCGTTGTTGCATAGCCAGTCTTTGAATCTCGGTCGATAGCTTCCCCATAGCAACTAATTCCAATTGAACCTACAAAACACATCAACGCATCATGCATCTTCCTTCCAGTCGAATATTTTTACCCCCTGGCTATCCATATCTCTTTCACAGATGCAAAACTGTATATATATACATACACACACACACCTATATACACATATATATACACATACATATACATATATATACACATATATATGTATATAAATATCGATCGCACAAATGTATCAGCAAATATATATATACATATATATATGTATATATATGTGTATATATATATCGATAGCACAAATGTACCAGCATATATATATATACATATATATACATACATATATGTGTATATATATATATCGATCG